CATTTTTCAAAATTTTTGATATTTGGTGAGATAAATATTAAAAACCATAATTTTTATGGGTTTTTCATGGTTTTCATTGGTTTCTTGTTCCGACCGCCATGTCTAAGTTATATATTCATGTTCAGAACACAAAAATACATAGGAATTGAGTGTTGTTATCCCTTATTTCATATGCGTGGGTTTTCCGAAGGTTTACCAAAAATCACCTCTTACGTCGTGTCAAGGAATAAGTCAATCGATTCTTGGCCGCACTTAAGTAACCTATCCTATCCCTCGTGGATGCTGACCCTTTCAGCAATCATCCGATTCATCTGCTTATCGGGGCAGACTTATACGGATCTCTGTTATTACACCAAATCAAGCAGGGCCCGATCGGAACGCCGACGGCTCAACTCACCTCCTTAGGATGGATTTTATCCGGGCCTACTGACGCTTCGGAATTAAGCGATGGGGGTCCATCCAATCGATGAACTGCGTTTCGGAACCCTCGATCGAATTTCTTCTCCAGAGATTCTGGGAAATCGAGGAAGTTTCTTCCGTCCCTCAGATGTCGGATGAAGATAAACGATGTGAACGACATTTTGTTGAAACACATCAACGCGGCCCGGACGGTCGCCATATTGTACGGTTGCCCTTTAAAACCGATCCTCCGCTCAGGATCGGGGCCTCTCGCGAAACCACCGCGCTGTTATATTCTAAGTTAGAAAGACGCTTACAAAAAAATAAGGATCTTGCCAAGCAATATCACGAATTTTTAAACGACTATGCGACGAAAGGTCATATGGAACTCGTTTCCGACTCCAATCCGACGCGGTTTCCTCCCATATACATATATACCGCATCATCCTGTTTTACGCGAGTCCAGCAGCACGACTAAGCTTCGCGTAGTATTTAACGCATCGTGCAAAACCTCTAATGGAACTACGCTAAATGATTATCTAATGACCGGGCCTAAATTGCAGCGTGAGTTGTCTACGATCCTCCTTCGTTGGAGACAATTTCGTTACGTATATACCGCGGATATCGAAAAAATGTTTCGTCAAATTCGCGTTCATCCGGATGACGTTGATTTCACTCGAATTCTCTGGCGATCAAGAGACGATCGTCCAATTCAATCTTATCGGCTTTTAACCGTCACTTACGGTACTGCTCCTGCTCCGTATCTCGCGATGCGAGTCGTCAATCAATTGGCTCTTGACGACGGCTCCTCGTTTCCACGCGCGCGAGATATTATACAAAATTCCCTCTATGTTGACGACGTACTATTCGGCGCCGACAACATCCAGTCGCTCCGCGAAAGTCGGGATCAGCTTACGAAGCTAATGACGCGAGGCGGATTTCATTTAAGGAAATGGGCCGCGAATTTAAAGGAATCATTGGAGGATATACCTCCAGGAGAACACGAACTCGCGATTGAGCACCCGTTTGATAAAGACAACACGCTCAAGGTACTTGGTCTTACGTGGATTCCCAGTGAAGATGCCTTTCGATTTCATATCGAGCCACCGTCGCTCGGAGTAAATACAAAACGCTCCGTTCTGTCGTTCATCGCGCGTTTTTTCGATCCGCTAGGATGGGCGTCTCCGGTAACAATTACCGCGAAGATCTCAATACAGGAACTTTGGATTCAAAAATACGATTGGGATTCTCCTATCGCGGACGCATTACTTCCGTCGTGGAAAAGGTATTATACGGAACTCACGGAATTAAAGGAAATTCGCATACGTAGATGGACCGGTATGCTTCCGGAGCACAAGGGCGTCGAATTGCACGGATTCGCAGACGCTTCGAACCGCGCTTACGCTGCGGTCGTCTATTTAAAAATCCTAAAGTCGCCTGGTGAAGTTTCGATTACTTTGTTAACGGCTAAATCAAAAGTAGCGCCAATTAAAACGATTAGTGTTCCGCGACTAGAATTAAACGCGATTGTCTTACTAACCCGCTTGCTGGAATCAGTGCAGAATTCATTAGACCTAAAACATATCCCGACGTACGGATGGTCGGATTCTTCCGTCGCTCTCGCTTGGCTCCAAGGACATCCTTCGAGATGGAACTCGTATGTCGCGAATCGCGTATCGGAAGTACAAACGCGTCTTCCGTCCATTAAATGGAATCATGTTCCGTCTAAAGAAAACCCAGCGGATTGCGCGTCTCGAGGCTTATCGCCCGCGGAATTACGAGAGTTTGAACTTTGGTGGTCCGGTCCCGCCTGGTTACACGCACATTCTCCCGCATGGCCGAACCGAAATAAATTCCAAGCTCAGCTCGATACTAATCAAGTTTTCATTGAGTCCGAAGCTCGCAAAATTAACGTGTGTCTCATACAAAATATACAAGAATGGGAATTGCCGAACGAAGTTTCCACATTCACAAAATTAGTTAGAGTCACCGCGTACGTAAAGCGTTTTGTCTTCAACTCCCGATGTTGCGTTTCCGGACTAGACAAATGCAACGGAAGGCTATCCGCGTCCGAACTCAAGAGTGCGTCCGTGTTTTGGCTGCGTTACGTGCAACACATCAGCTTTTCGTCCGAATTCCACGCTCTAAGTAACTCCGGGTCGATCGCCAAATCTAGCGCGTTACGATCTCTTCACCCCTTTCTCGGGGAGGATAAATTAATCCGCCTTGGCGGGCGGATCGAAAACTCAACGTTAACTTATAACGAGCGTCATCCGGTTGTATTACCGAAACACCGAATTTCGGATCTATTAATTGCGCGCGCGCATAAAGATTCTCTTCACGGCGGCACTCAACTGACCCTCCGAATCCTGCGTCAAAACTACTGGATTCTTTCGGCCCGTACTAGCGTCAAATCGCATATACATAATTGTGTAAGATGCGTCCGTGAACGCGCGCTCACGATGCAGCAACTAATGGGGAACCTTCCCAAACCTCGCGTCTCCCCATCGGCCCCGTTCTCGCACACGGGCATCGATTACGCCGGACCTATGAATATAATCCCGACAGTCGGTCGAGGACAACGCACACGGAAATATTACGTTGTCGTGTTCATCTGTCTTGCGACTAAAGCGATTCATCTAGAGTATGTGGATGACTACGCTACCGCCGGGTTTCTTGCCGCGTTGGCCATTTAATGTAGCCGCGCCTTCGATTATTTTACCGCGACTGCACTACTTCATTAATTTAAATAGTAATCGCCGGGACGAGGACAGGAAGTTCAACTGAGCTCTCGATGAGTTTTCGTAACCGCTTTATTAGTGGCTTCTGACTCTCAGACCGTCGAGACGCGGTTTGCGGCGCGATGATATGAACTTCGTTCCGCGAGACTACTCCAATAAGGAAACGTGTTCTCTCGGCGCGATCTGATCGAACAGTGACTTGCGAGCCGACGGACGCCCGGAATTTGCTTCAGCTGACGACCCGGCGACACTCACTGTTTACGTTCACGCGAAGTCTCTCGAAGGTAGACTTATTTGCCCGGGACGTGAGCTGGTAACAACGGAGTCACCGATTCGCCAGATTGACCCAAAACATAGAGTCGTTCGTTATCGGAGAAGGCAACCGTCGGAATCGAAGCACCGCTCGATCATAACACGTACTTTCTCGAACACGTGCTCACTGTCAAAACGCGGCACATGTCATACATGTGCGCTCGGTACACGAGACGTAGCTCTGTGTGGCACACGATTCGGAATATTTGACAGATTCCGACTGCGTTCCAGTATTCACTGCTACTACGGAAAATCTGTGTATAGTGTATGTGTGCACAACCAGTACTGGAAATAACCTATATTTTTAATATATTATTTCCAGTACTGGTTGTGAGGAAAACATACAGGCTAAGGTTAGTATACCTTTATTACATAGAAAAATATTAGCTGACAATGATGATCGCAGAACTTATAAATCGCAAAGGTGTTTTACGTACGGTCGTGGTCAGAAAGGTTGTTCGACCGTTTATGCTAAGTTTCGGAACACAGCCCATCATGTCAGAAATTTTAGCTTCTGCTCACAAAATACTTGTATGTATCATTCTTTTGCTGATAGCATGTAAAATAGTAGTTAGAAACAAAAACCAGATGCGTCTCTTCTGACGGCACCGGTGTACATAAATCCCAGAAACATCTATTCCGATGGTACTGGGAAAATATGTACATATCAGATGCGTCTAGATGGACGGTACTGATAGCATGTAAAATAGTAATTAGAAAC